GTCACAGTTTCTTACTTTGATGCTCCAGTCGGGCACCGAGTCCCTACTGAGTCTTTGCAGGTCCAGCTGTTAAAGTTGCTAAATTTCTCACTTCCTTTTCGAAGTAGTCTAAACGAATAAGCAGGGTCACAGCGACTGAGGTACACCGGATTTGCTATATAAACTTTGACCACTTCGTTTCATGAATTCTCGTTTAATATGGCTTTTAATCCGAGATGCGGCTTTTTGCGACTTGCCAAAATAATGTCGACCACAAAAACAAAGAGTTCGCAAAACTCTGCCATAATATTTAAACGTTAACTATTTATGAATTCATCATTATTCCAACTATTTTATCGTATTTTCTTATCTAATGGCAAATTTTAATGATGTACCAGGCCACCGCATTTCGCTTACTCCGCTAAAAATGAGCAGTTTAACAAACAATATCTGAGAAAATATTTTTTGGACGCAATTTGATTGTTTATTGTAACTGGAAACGGACACACTGGGGTTCTTACTTACCCTAGTTTCTTAGTGAGCTGTAACTTTTTAAAATGCACATCAAAGCTGCAATGTATATCCACCGCCACATATTTGTTTAGCTACTTCCAGGTACCGAGCCTCTATAAAGTATCTCAAGGTCTATTGCTGAAATAATTAAGTTTTTTGCTAATGAACGGTGGTCTTACACGTCACACCGAGGCATTGTTTGTCTCATCTTTAACAAACTCCCGGAGACAACCGGGGAACGGCTGGACTCAATAATTATTCAGAGCAGCCAGAAGTGGTTTCATTTTTTATCACTAAAAAGCCAGGTATACATTTATTCACCTATAAGATCAGCCCCAAAAACGAAGAGAGTTATAAAAAATGTGAGAATCTAAAACTATTAGTAACGAACGGTCTGCAGAGAAGAGACTGTATAGTTATCTCACCAATGAATTTTGCCTGTACCGCTTACTTTAAAATTGTATTTATACAGTTGATTATTATCTAATTTTTTGCAATTTTAGCATTCAGAATGCCTCAAAAACCTAGTGTCTGTGGAGTTACCATACCATGCTGGACTGTACGTGTGTAGAGGAAGAAATAAGCTCGGGTGGGGGGCTTACTCACGTCCAACTAAACTGTTTGTTAAAAGTAAGTAAAAACATAATAATTAAAAAAATTCGCTGAATAAACAAAACACCTAAATGTTTTTGCCCTTTTGACTTTTTAGACCACTTGAAGGGTTTGAGTGGACCAGAAGCTCAATATTTGTCAAAAAGCGCTAATTTTGCCCTTTCTGTACCGTGTGAAGCATCAACATACCCACTAACAAACGTGACATGGAGGATACTGAAAGTAATGGTATGTGACCTACTTGAGCCTGCAGAGCACAACTACTCATTTTACAGATTTATGCGGCTTGAGAATACCGTATGTTCTCATATGAACTGCGGAAGCAAGAAATCGTTTCCTGTAATTTAGTGTGTTGCATGAGAAATTAGAAGAATGCTTCTGGACATCCTTCCAAATTTTTTGCTGATGCCCGCACAGTAAAATTGCTTCATTAGAAGTAGTTGAAAAATTAGCTGAAGACAAGTTCGTCCTCAGACGTTGGTGGACTTTGCAATTAAGGCCATAATAAAATGCCTCATATTTCAGACATTTTACCAACAAAACAGTGGAAATCAAGAATGGTAATTTCTGTCTTATTCATCATCACTAAAGAGTCATAGTGAGGCATCATGTGGTTGCAGGCGATTTCATCAGAGTAGGATGCTCTGGAGCAAAGCAAAGCAGGCAGACCGCGTCTTCTTAGTGGTGGCGGGAAATAAGCGTCAAACCGGCCTAGTATACAACAATCTTTCCCGACTGAAAAGCCAAAAATCTGCATTTCTGCCATGCCGCGCTTCGCGCTGCAGTGCGCACTTTCTCGCATGTAAGATCCGAGCCCCCCCCCCCCCATGAAAGTCTGGCTGTTTCATTTTATCACTCACCGCACCCTAGTCATCGAAGGCAGGTTGATGAAAGAGGAGAAAGAGCGGTTGATACATCGGTCTGTGCCCCTGCGTGAGGCATAAGGGCGACCTCTTCCTCGCGACGGTCGAAATAGTGCCAATGTGTGGCTTAAGAAGTTTGCGGGGAAGATTTGGGAGAGAATGAAACTCATTGATAGTATAAAAATATCCCCACATATCAACTCATCGGTCTACAAAAGACTTATATAATAAGCTATTCTGGTTCCAAACAGATTATATGTAAGCATACTTATCATATTTGGAATCGTTCTATACATAAAACTCCTTACGAAGATATCATAAACCAGCTAACCCAAACAAAGATTCTAATATTTTCCAGATTTTTCCAAATACATCTTTTGTTAAATTATTGAGACGTGCGCTTAACTGACCACGCAGTTAACCGCATCATAAGTTACTCCGACCTAGGTTTGGAATGGCCTAAACAATTAAAACAAGTTTAAGAGGACATTTAATTGTTTGCTTCGTCTGCTAGTTTCAACGTGGTCTTCCTGGAATTCGCCTACGAAGATAACAAACGATAAAGAGGGCCCTGAGCGCCAGCTTTCGAAATTCAATTTTTAAGTTTACCGAAACGCTAACTGCATAAGCGCATTTGAGCACCTCGCCTACTGGCTCATGGTAGTAAATGGTCGTTACTTCACCATTCGCCCGCAGTGACCCTCAACCGTAGTTTATGGTGCCTTACTCCCGAAATCTCAAACACATAAACTTTAATTGCAGTACAGTACCTCCTTGCACCGTCTCTCTATTGACGGTCGGTTTGCAGCAGACATGGAATATGCTGAGGCCAGATACCCCCTTGATCAGCAGTTAAAGACTTCTACTTCCTAAACACTAGAACATTGTAAAACTTGGCCTTCTGAGAATTTGTTTTCTCCTAGATTTCGTTCTTAAAGATAGAAGTGTCAGTATTTTGCATCTTTCATCCACGTACAGTATCTTACCATGCTGAATTTAAGGAGGCAAAACTGAACCCCCAGCCAAACAATACCAACACAAGTTACTTTGCTTCAACGGTGAGCAGTCCTTCACTTCGCGTATGGTGCCCTGGAGCCAATTCAATCCTTTGCTGGAATGTAAAGGAGGAGGACCTTTCAACTGTTCATGTTGTTGATGACAGAGCGACACTACATTTTGCTTCTGACAATGCTATTGAAAGTAACATTATATACGCATGTATTGCGTCTAGTGAGTTGGGACGTATGGAGATACACTCTCAAATTTCCAGCAGACAAGGCAATTCCGTCCGAAGAGAGACTGCACTGGGTATGTTAACATCTATAGTTTCAAAGTTATATCTAAAATAAAAGCACCAGTTTTGGTGCGAGTGTTTATACATATCGGATTCAGCACTGTTGAATAACACTGCATGGCAGTGCTCAACATTCTAACCGTGCTAAACCATACTAACTTTAAAGGCTTTCCCTTTTCCCTTAGATGTTCATCTGTAAGTCTGTCATGGTTTAAGGTAAATTCCGACGAGCATATTGATGACAATTTCAGTGAAATGTTGTGGACCCACAGTTAGTAATATTACCTAGTTTCAAATGCAAAATCATTTTAAAGCTCATATTCAACGTTGTCGTATACCAGTACTGCAAGCGGAAAGTCGAATAAACTTTTTGAAATTTAGATATAGGAGTAATAGTCGTATCTTCAGACTGTAAGGGTTTCCTTCCAAGTAATGGCTTAGGAACAAGGCCTACAAAGCCCAACAGTATTCACCATGCTAGGTATTATCTCCTAAATCCTCATAAAATGTCTGACAATGTGCTACTATATATATACGCGAACAGGTCGATATTCCCGCGCTTACATTCGCGCACAAATGTATAACTACAACTGATAACCCCATAATAAGGAAATCCTCAAACATACGGCAAACGTACGAAGACAGTTATAAGAGAACATATACTATTGAACAGTTAGTATAGAACATAAGAAAAAAATCAAACAGCAAGAAACAGTTTCAAATAATGCGATGCGACTGCCAGTAGAACATCAAAGAAAGTCAGTTGGCTGTTTACTCCCTCCTCCATCACAAATTTCATGTACAGAAAAACGGTCTTGAGAATGACTCTGAATGTTAGAACTTGACTTCATTCGGAAACTTAATAGGTATCTTCCCGCACCGAGCCCAGAAATGCGAAAACCGATGAATCCAACGGCCGCAGGACCGTTGTGGATACCGTTCCCGAAACCAATAGCTTCCGTTCGGTAGAATGTGAAATAAGTTATAAGATAGAACTACCTGCTGGAACTCAAAATCACTTAACTATACCTGTGAACCAAATGCGATGAAATAGAGAATCTTTTTGGGCACACATGAATCGAATAAATATTCGGCCAAAGCGACTACGTCGATGAAACTGGGTGATTACTCCCGATGTAGCTGATCGAACAAGCAGCCACAGTGAGGAAGGCTGACACCAGCTCTCAAGTCACTGCTCGTTCGGCGGGCCCTCAGCACACCTTCAAGCATGACATAGGCGAAGTTCTCGCAAGCGATGACAACCACGTGAACCACGAGCCCGTTGAGTCATGGCTCTCCTTCTCGCAACGTATTGATAAGGACAATGAACTTCCCCCACAATGTTCAATGCTAAGACACAGACTGAGCAAAGTAGTTGGGCTTGAGGGTAACGCGCGGATGAAAATAGTTGGTCGTGTCAGTATCAGTAGGCCAAGTTTTCGAATCCCTGTACCAACGACTATGAATGGGGAAGCTCCTAATTGTGAAAAACCCATGGTGGAATAACAACGGGTCTGTTTATACTTCCACCACCCTTATTTTTCGTTCGCATAACGACGAGTTTGACTGATATTCAAAAACGTTAAGTGAATAAAAATCTCATTTTAGCGTTCGCATCACGTTCTTTTCATTTCAACTGAAGTCGTGGATGTATATATATTTCTGCGAATTTTGTAGGAATAAGACTTCTGAGATCATTTGCCTGTGCAGTGGAGATAAGGTATGAAGTCTTTCGTTGGATGACGAATTCATTGCCGCAGAAGGAAAAATCTAAGCCGTCTCAGTGTGACTTGGAAGTTCACTTAACGCAACCTGACGATGCAAATATGTGGACTAAACGTAAGTAAGTTTTATCGTGTCAACTATGGAAAATAGTTTTTCTAGCCCATTTTCCTTCTACTATACCTTGACATAACCGGCAATTTTGAAAATAAAAATAATAGAGGTAGTGGCTTTGATGCATGGACCATCCAAATTTGCGTAAATAATCTAAGATCACTTATGTAAAGTGGATAGATAAAGCGATTTATTTGACAGTCATATACGGAAAAGGTGACGGGTACTTATTCATAATAAAACAGGTATCTGAAGAGGAAATATAAGCAGAATTTAAAAAAATTATATTTTAAAGTATAATAAACGCGGTCCCGTGTAAAAAATTAGCCTATTAATCAACATGCAGTGCGCTGAGAGATTTTAAAGTCACATGAGTCTAAATAGACGGGCAAAATTAAGACCAAAGAAGTTTTCTTGTAAATTATATCTTTCTGTATTCCATATTAAACAAAGAAAAAACGTTTCTTCGCAGATTACAAAATGCTGCCAATGTTTCGTCTAGTCTGCTTCGGCGCTCCCAATATGCCTTGAATACGGCAAAGAGTGAATATAATTGGATTCGTCCATAGGCTAAAATTTTACTGACACTGTGCCGTCAGTTAAAGCGTTTACATTATCAGCAAAAATATAAATCACACCAAAACAAGGCAATATTTTCATTCTATTCAACAGCAGTCTTCAGCTGATCCCTAGAAAGCCAGTGGCTACTTGATTTCACATTGACTGACTTTACAATCGATAATTCAAATAATGAAAATATGTTATACTCATCTTTTACGACTGCTGGTAATAAGCCAAAAAAGAATACTGGCAAAAATGTTTTACGTAAACTATTGTAAATCATTTTGTGCCACATTTCCAACTGAGAGTTATTGACGACAAAAGCGGGAAATTTATGTGCGAGAAAACATGGATAAATAAGAGCGCAAAAACTGAAAAAAGCATTTATCAATTGATTCCCTTTTACGCTATGTCATTTGCTTTTGGTTCAACGACGTTTTGTAATCAATCACGGCCACTGTTCCCACAGGAGACAGCTTTTGTTTATACTGTGCATGAAAACATCTCAAAATCGTTGCTGGGTTGGTTTATGATTCTTTCTGACCAGCCTGCACATGAGGCCTATGAATTTGTTAAGGATACCCGTTCTTAGATGCGAAGACGTTGTTTATTTAGTTTTATCCCATCTTGTAGAAACCTGCAGTTGGATAATAAATGGCATAATTGACGCACATTTCGCCGATGTTGAATGTTTTAAAAGATTACACAGAAATAACTGAAGTTATTTTATACGTTTTATCTCATTTTATTTGAAATACCATCGGAGTATTTTCGGTTGCGGTTAAGTCAAACTACTAAAATTTGCAATTTAGCAACTTCTGGTGTTTATTTGCCCGAAGATAAAAATACTTATAATTGGCTGAAATTCTCTAATATTTCTATCGATAGCGGATGATAATAACCGCATTTACTAAAACCAACGTCCAGTTAATGCGGAAACACAGGAAAAATGAAATTGGAGTAGAGTGAATTACGGTAGAAACGTATTTCGTTATAAAATGATGTGAAGGCTAAACAAGGAGACGTCTTCCAACATCCCAGAATTAACAGGAAGAGCAAGGCTGTGGTCGTTACATAAAACCACAATTAAAATTTGTTTCGGTCAACGAAGAGTGGTCTGATAAATCTGAATAATTTTGCTTGTCAAATGCAAAAGTAATTAATAATCAAAATATCTATTACTAGAGTTAACAAATTTTATGGTATTTAAAGTGTTTTTATGTGAACATACCTGGTTTGGGCGCTTTTTATAGAATGCTTTTACGCTAAATCATGTTCTTTATTAGATTAAGCAACGGTTTTTTGTTTTCTCTTAAATAAAATTTACAATTCTCAAAAATACTTCAAAAACAGGTCGCAGAGAGTTTAAAATGGGCGTCAATAATTGATAATGAAAAGGAAAGATGCTTTAAATCCTTTGGGCAGATTGTCATTATAAATTAATTAAATATTAGCAAAATGTTTCCCGAAAGAAATAACGAAAGACCCTGCCTATGCATGAACTGCAGCGTTTATCCAACAACCAGACTGATATCTGTTCCGGTCATCACCCGTTCGTTGCTAAAAAAGTTCCATAGGGAAGTCTTTTTCCATTCACAACATATATCAACTTTGTAGGCGTACAGTTTGTTGCTTTTTGGTAGACTCAAACTTTTTAAACATGTCTCTTACCTTCTAATTATTTGAAGAGTATATTGATGCAAAGCACGTTTTAGGAGGAGTAGCACGCAGTGGGCATTGTTTATTGCGTTATTTAACAAAAAATTAATGTGTTGGTGTCTGGCTATCCACTTATAGGTATTTTATCAGAGATAACAACAGGTTCTCATAATCGTACTTTTTGGGCAAAATGAAAATATTATTTATTGTGACAAACAAAAGTCTTTTGAATAATACTTTGCTCGTAAGCATTACATTCTGCTTGGAACAAATTATAAATTCCAGTAATCATAGATTAGTTCTTAAGTAAAAAAAGGCAGGGAAAATGTTCTTGCAAATATAACTAACTGGTCATGTTCCTCCTATGATTCGATCGCGTACTTTTTAAAAAAGGATTCTTCGCACAGTAATGATCACTGACTTATTTTCTCGATGCACATCTCGATTCGTTCTTTCCGTCCGCCAGCCAACTTGGCCGTTTGAAAAAATGAAGATTAGGTTTAAAAGATTTTCGCTTTGTATAGACAACGCAATCGTTTGATCTCTTATTGCAAATTTCTTAAGTTGTAGGCAAATGAATGCAGTGTCTCCTGTTTGTCATAGATGTAGACTTTTTTACGTCTAAGAACTCTCTTTTGCCAGAAAACTGTTGTTGTATTCCATTGTCAACCCTGTCATCAGTTCGGTAGCTCGGCCGATATCGGGAGGCATCGGAATTTTAAATAGTCAAAATATATGTTGGTCGTAGTTAACAACACACCACAAAAGTGCAAGGATTGCATTTTATGGCAAATACTTTTTGAATTTTACAGAAGGATCTTCTCTGAACACATTCTGTGTGTTAAAATTGCAGAGATTTCTTTTGTCCTGAGGTCTTAAGTCAAGGCGTCAATATAATTTGAATGAAATTTTCATCTGAAGGTACTGTATTTTCCCAAGTCCTTCGGAACGCTGTTGCCAAGGCCGCTTGAAAGATGCCTGCAAAAAATCAGTTATGTCTCCGCAACGCATTATTTCATTTGTCGGTTTAAAAAGCCAGGCTCATAGTGGGCTTCCATGGAAACGGACTTATAGCTTTGCTTGTAGTACTTTGTTGCTTATAAATGTAAAAATAGCCTTTTGAGATTCAGTGACAGTAACCCAAATTTTTGTATCTATGCGTTGCAACAGTCGTTTAACGTTCGGTAAATTTTTTGAATAGAGTTCGTGTCCTTTACCGTCAGTAACGTCACATCCTTAAGTACGGTAATCTTGCCGTCTTTCACTGTTCAATTCCCGCAAAACCTGCTGGAGAAATTACGCACAAGTCCTGCAGCCTCTTTTGACGCATATATACCGGTTGCTGATGCGGGATACGAGAGATTTTAAACCACTTGGTTGGTTGGTTGAAATGTTTTAGGTGCCAACGGGGTTTGTTGATCCTTTTCCGCCTTAGATGAACACTGTCATATTACCTGGCATTTTGAGAGAGCGATGTCATTTTGCTTTCTGCCGAAATTATTTATGAAGTTTACACCCGAAGAGTAAAAACGTTGCTCAGTCTTAAGAACGGTGTAAAAACCATAGAAACTTTGAGGCAGACTAAAATTTACCTAATTTTGCCATAAGACAATTATTTGGGATCTTTAAAATCTATGCGTACCTGGACGGTAAAAGAGACAACAGATTGCACTTTTAGTACTGAAGCCTGGATAACCTGTTCCAGTCTCTATCTGAATAGTTTTCTGACGGTGGACTAAACGTCTAATAACGAAATATATATTATTTAAGATTAATTACTTGCTATATTTTTAACGATATTTAGAAGACGGTTCGGTCTAATACGCTCGGACAGAACCTTTTTGGAGAAGTAGCTCTGCCCAGCTAGAGTTAGAATCATTGAAGTAAATGAGTCGATTCATTCGTCTTTTAGAAACTAAGGGCTATTTCAGTTTATATCATACTTTATGGCGGCTCACTTTTTCTTAGTTTTGCTATACTTGAAAAGTGCGAAATAATTTTATTCTCACTGAAAAGGACAGCTGTCTCAGTCGACGTCGGATGTGATTTTCGTAACGGGCTTAAAACCTGACTCCGTGTACGTATTCGTTCTGAGCCTTTTATGCAATCGATCGAGCGAGGTCAAAAGCAACCTGATCTCCGCCCGAACTAGGCGGTTATCCGCCAGCGTCAATGACAGTGCAGAAACGCTTTATGCCCACAGTAAGTTCTTTAAATGCATGCGTAAATCACTTCACTGTTACAAAACTCCCAGTCAACGTTGCATAGGCTTGAAAATTACTGGCTTTTTCTAACTAAGTCGGCACCATTTTTAATGGACAGTTTCAGTCCTAACAAGGCAAGGCTCCCAAGAACATAGATATATCTCATGAAAACGCACATTTGCAATGAATCTTTAGATATGACTTTCAAGACTAAACAAGCACTTCTGTTGAAAGCTTGTTTGGCCTTATTCAAGTACGAAAGCATGGAGCAAGATTTCAAAACAACGTACACTAGTCAGGTTTTTCAATTTACTCAACTTTTTGCCTTCTTCTACGTCTTTGACGACCGAAATGACTTGGCTCATAACCTCACTGTGTAAGGTAACGCTGTGTGCTGGGAGGAATGCAGTGATTTCAGGGCCAAGCTACGGCCTTAATCCTCTAAGACGTAGTATAATTCTGTGCTTAGCATGAACCCTCAAACTACCCACTTGTATTGTGAAAATGTTTGCATGACCGGTCATATGACGATGCCTTTGATAGAATTTTCCAAAAACCGGAAAATGCCTACTAATACCTCTAAAGAGGTAAAATACCCAGAGAAAGGTTTTCATTCTTTAAGCTTCTGAGCAGCAAATTCGACTACCCACCTAAAAAGATGGCAAAACAAGCAAAGTTTGCGTTGAAGGACGTTAAGATCCGACATTTCACCTCGTATTTCCACAGACTGAAAAAAATTTCGATACTTTTCTCAGCATCTGGACTCCTGCATGCGTATCTACAATTGTCGATCTGCTTTTTTCCTAGTGAATACATTCTCTGCGGTTAACTGAAGTCGGTAGACAGTAGCAGACTTGCTACTGTTACGCATGTGCTTTTCGATGCATGATGCCTCTTCATAGACGTGTTTCAAGTCTGTGACCGGTTTCCCTTCCGAGGGACATTGAGGATTTGCCATTGTCTCTGAGATATCAGTTGCGCGGGGTATTCAATGATAGCCATTCTGTTTGGCTTTCTCATGCCCTATTCGTGGGCCCTGCTTAATAATGACGAACGCTTGAGTACATTTCTACGTCGTGAATAACTTCCGTTAGGGATTATTACCGTTACTCTCTGTGTTTGGTCCGCCGCGGTAGGCTTGCTATCGCCACTAAAGGATGCGTGTATAGTACTGTTTGTTAAGTAGCAAGTGTGTGTTGTAGTAGCATAATCCCTAGAAAGCTTGGAAGCCTTTGTCACCAAATGAATACACTAGTTGTTAGTTTGACAGGATAGTTAAAACTGATCCAAGGGCAGGTTTACGTATGCGTTTTTATCTATGGAATGAGGTTGTAGACTTGGGGAATGTACATCATTGGACGGTTGGCGTGGCAGGGAGATCTAAAGATTCCATTTCATTGGTGGGCGGAGAAGAAGCCAGCGTGCAACCTCGTCTGCCGTGCTACGCTGCTCGTTTGGAAAGTTGTCCTCCAAGTCAGAATGATTTAGAGCATATTTTGGCCGGAGTAATTGCATGGTTTTGAAAAGCGCACGCTAGCAGCATAGGATGCTGTTTTCCATAAGTATAATGACTGTCTGGGCTGTCAAAATTATGTGAAAATGTAGTAGCATTTATCGGGTTGTCTTAACACTATGAAAAGATGACAGCAGTTTTTCAAACCGTTTTTGCTATCAAGCGTCCGTTAAGAAGGGTAGATCAGCACTCACCCACCTCGGCTCAACGAACTGTCTCCTCGAAGTAATTCTAAATCGCGTCACGTCCCCCCCCCCTTCACCTGTCGCTTAACATTCTAGCCAGTGAATAGGAACTACCAACATTCTCAGTCACTTTAATCTTATTTAGTCTTTCGCCTACCCACGTCTTCTTTAAAATGTTTAATTATGTATTGGTCAACGAACACAAAGTCGTCATATACAGTAAGTTCGTAATCCGCTTCTATAATTTTTAAATCTGTCTTCCTATGACCCCAAAAAGAAGTCGCTGCACCGAAATTGGTGAGTGCATCGAAGTACCCTTCAATCGCTTCCATCCTATATCATGGAGAGTGAACTCTTCCCTAAAGTCAACATAGTTTTTATTAGGTTCCACAGTAAATGTGCTATCTCATGAAATGCTACTTAAAACCGAAATTTGTCCTTGTCGTAAGATGATCTGCCACGCGTCAGCGTTGAATCTTACAATTGAAAAAGCATATATTTTGGTCTTAAAAGCCCCAATTCCTGAATAGTTTTTAACACAGCCTGCCGTTACACTTGCAAATAGGATTTCAAAAATACAAGCCATAAATCCCCCTGTAAGAAAAATCACAAGGTTACATATGCTATTAAGAAGATGTCATATAGTGTTCATAACTTTCGCAATTGATATGGACTACGTTGTATATTTTGCATGCAGTATTATTGAGCGGAATGATACAATGTTTCATGGGCAGACATTTCCGGACGCAAAAAATTTCATATTTAGAATCGTTTAGGGCAAAATCAGTGGTCGTCTGCTAATCAATTGTTTTCAATTTCCGGTGTAACAGTTTATTTTCACTTGTGCAACCAAAAAACCTTTAGCAAAGGACAGGGCTTGTCAATTTAAAGAAAACTATTACAGTTTATCAAGCATAATTTACCACAAACACTGGTTTCCTATAAGGTTGGGCAGTCGAACATCTCTAAAACAGCTCCGCTATAACTGTTCTCTGTCAAAGATTTTGCGATTTAGCGAACAGTATGCTAGTTTCATATACAACTGCGCACCTGCAGATCTCGTGAATTTTCTTGAGCATTGCCATGGCTAACTTAAGTTATTCTTGGGATTTAGTACTGTCCACAAAATAAGACACTTTATTGTCTTTTTGTATCCCTGATGTTTTAGATTCTCAAGTAGTGGCATCAGCGTATGGGACTGACCACTATGCTGAAGTGACTAACTGCAAACAGACGAGTCTCACTGAAACTGACCAGAAGAAACTGAGAGGGAAATTGGACCTCCGTGGCCAGTACATCTTGGCTGCCGGTGCATGTTTAGCGATCATCGTAGTTTTGGTTCTTTCGGTCTGTCTGCACTGGCAAAACGTTCGTCACACGCGTAGAATCCCTGTGTTTCAGCATCAGCTGTGCCAAAAGACAGCAACTCAGTTCTGTGTCCATTGCAGGAACAATGAAAGGCACTTGGGAACTCCCGCGTTAGGCAACCAAAACAATCTGGTTTATGCGTGTACAGAACACACCTGTAATCGTTCAGACCCAGCGGCAACAAATGAAGCGCGACAACATTTTCTGTCGAGAGGTCTGTGTGTTAGCTGCAATAACGGGAAATCAATATGCATTCCGATTGAATATCAGACTCCGAGAGTCCACAATAATTTGATTCCCAACAATTATAAAAATATTTCGAAAACTAGAAATTCCAGTGGGGACAGTGTGCCGAAGACTGACGCAACAGAAGTGTGCAAATTCGTATCTGTGTGTGAGTTGCATGCACTTTGTCGTAAGTTTAACTTTATTCATCTGCTCTGCGTTAAAGTAAAGATTAGTTAACAATTACAGTAACAGTTTTCAAGGGATCCTTCGTTTGCTCCGGTAGCATCCGCCAGGGTACTGCAATCTTGAAATGCAATTTAATCTTTAAATTAGGTTTTAGTTTAGGACCTAATGAAATAACGTCACATGAGTCGGGGCTCTAAGTCCTAGGTGTGACTATTACTAGGGAAACGTCAGTACATACTGTTATAAATATTCTGGGGAACTGCAGGTGGGGCTACGTTAACGGCGGTATTTAACGTTAGCCTCGACAAATTGTCCTATTAGCCCCCAGCGGCTTCCCTTGTTTACTTAAGAATTCAGTGTACACTGATGTTGGAAGTTGTTCATGTTATATGATAGAATTCATAGTTGGATGGGATGGGTTTAATAAAAAAAACACGCTTAAAAATTTTATGTGAAAAGAATAAGCTTCACTTTCATGCAAAAACGTATTGGTTCTGATAGGTTGATTTAAGTGATGTTGGAAATTATAGCAAGAATTACTCCTCCATTAAACTTCGCTTATCATATTTTTTATTTTTTAGCATCGAATGCCTCATTGCCGAACGTCGACAACGGGTAAATTTAAATATATTTTCCTCACTGCAAAAAATGCAATGACTTTGAGAATTCTAACAAATGTTTTTGGCATCTTATTTCGAAGATATATTGCTAATTAGTTTGATGATAAGTTCATGATTTCCATAACTCCTACCTTTGAACCGGTTACTTTCGTACGCGACAAGTGGTCTTTATGTAATAGGTAAACGCACAAACGGGAGAGCAGAAAAATGACCACTGATTCTAAAGACTAAGGAGGATCTGAAACCGGGTAGATTTCCTTAGTCCGATGTCGCAAATTCGCGCTTGAGATCGTTGTCAGAGGCACAGTAGTGTGCGTGGTTGCTCATCACCAGTATATTCGATGCAGGCGTGGTCGTGTCCAGGTCCTCAAATAGATGGGGTTTCGCTGTGCCAATTCTTACTAACTCTAAGGCGTCTCGAAAACTTTGGCCATAAGCGCCCGGTACAGAGCGCAACGTTCATCTTTGCGCCTTCCTGTTTCTCATGATTTAACCTTTGCCAGTGCCTCCTCTGCTACAACTCAAATCGTGCATGTGAAGGCTGGCTCCCAGGGACAATGGAGATCCCAATCGTGTACAGCTGACAAACCATGACCAATTGCATTACGCAGGCATAGTCCTAACGCCGCATATAACGACGCAAACGCTCTGCGTTTATTAACTAATCTTGGACTATAAAGCACTGGCTTACGCAACGTACGGAGTCTTATCTCAAGAGGATTTTACTCCCGATGATGTTGTGTGGTTGTGCGAAGCCAACCACTGATTGTTGTTTGCCAACATTCCCTTTCATGTCACGGCGTACCCCGTTATTCTCGTTTCCAGGCTTTAAATATAATTGGAACTGAACTGTGTCATTTATAATTAACGATACCTAAAACGTAATTCCACGCTAAAGTACTTTATGATCTTGTTAATTAAGTTCTAACTGACTTGGCCTCCGATAGACGTTAGAAGCATTATTTAAGTAGTCAGTTGGTTTTATTTGCCCTGGGTGCTGGGGTTCCTCCGTGAGACAGTGATAAACGTGGTTCTAAAGGCAGTACTACGAAGACAAATAGCGACCTCAATTATGGGTATTAGGTCAGGCACTCGAAAGTAGTATGTTATTGATCAGCGGCGTGGATGCACAGAGCAGCGCCATGCAAAAACCGCCGTACACATGTTTTCAATCATAGGTTTGGAAATCGGTTAGAGTGCTTCGGCGGCCCTTGCCACTGGTGTGAGACATCTCGGTTGGAAATAAAACTAAACCTTCATGGATTAATAAAATGACTGCCCAGCGAATGTTTTGGATAAGGTGCTTACCATACTTTCCCTTGTCCTGCCAAGTTATACACAAGGCTAATATTAGTCAATAATTTAACGAGGCTAAAGTTGGGTTTATTTTTCAAAATCTAAAAAAGTGGTAGCAAGTATTTGGTGCACTTTGAGAAAGATAGCTAGCATTTGACTACTTTATAATGGCAGATCACACGGTTCACTGCATTCCACAAACGAAGACCTCAAAGCTGAATACACGCATACAACTATGACCATTCTGGTCATAAGCATAAGTCGGAAGCAGTCCAGAAATCTAAATGGTCCTGATAGTATAAAATAAACTTTTTCTCGTTCTCAAATTAAACATTAAAAGTTTATTGAATACGATCCGTAGAAAAGGTCGGGTATATCTTATCAGTTTCAATTAATATAAAATTCACTTGATATAGAATTGTTCACTTTGTGCACTTTTCAAACATTCTGCCTTCTATCATTATCAGGAAACATCTCGCACCCCATCAACTACAGAAAATCACGAAAACGAACAAAATTTCTAAGTTCAGCTCAACTCAGGACCGTACGGACGGAGCAAACTCAGGAAAATCCCGAAGTTCTTAGCAGCCAATTGTCACAAACAGTGGATGCTATTTTTAAATTAACCTTTCGGTCTAGACCTTCGATGCCCATGCAGAGGCAAAAAATCTATATTCTGACCGTTTTATTTGTTTTCCGATTTAATGTCGTTTAATGCCCTAGTAGCGGAGAGTTTTTTGGGTAAATCTTCATAACCGAGTCTCAAATGTTCGTAATGACAAACATAAGCGGTTGCAGTCTTGTGCTTGGGGCAGTCATCTTTGTAGTTATTTTAAACTGGTCATTTTAAATTCGTCTTCATCGCACTTATTTTGTGCTAAGGCCGCAAGCACTTGGCATAGGTCTTAGCGTCATTAGCTACAGTGAGCAACCAATCTCGTGAAATATTGGCTGAAATTCTGGAATTCGTTTTCGATTAAGAAGGATTAGTCAGGCGCGGTTACAATAAGGATTACTTTGCGGCATACTCCTAAAATGTTTCGGACTTTGTAGGGTGTCAGCTTTTGGATACACTGCTGTACAATCTCCTGTAGCGACCGTACTCGACAAAAATGACCACTTAAGTAGCATGCATTTTTCCCACTGATTTTCGACGTTCTTGCAAATTCAAATATATCTTATAGAAACCGTAAAAGAAAATATGCTATCTTTTAGTCGTTTGATAGAGAATTACGTCATCTTCACATTTTATACTCAAAGAAGTAGTACAATTTGGTTTCAAAAAAGTTTTTAATTATGAGATTTTTTGAGACCGCTCAATGTCTATTCTCATAGCATCGTACCTGTCCGTTTACCACCGTTCCTCGTAAAAGTTGCAATATAGTTTGCATCCATTGTAAACTCTTACGGACTCTGTATGATGTCTTTTAAGAGGCATAGAAAAATATGGAATTCTCCTTACGGGAACGCATGTACCTTATAGACTGAAATCACTAAGCGCTAATGCGACGAATAATCAGGCTCCAAATTATTCGGCAACCAGAAAACCTTTTAAAGCCTAATTATACTCCTTCTTCGAGCATAAAATATAAAGATGACAAAATTCTCTATCAAACGATTAAAAGATAGCATATTTTCGTTTATGGTTTCTATAAGGTATATTTGAATTTGCAAGATCATCGAAGATCAGTGGGAAAATGTGTGCTACTTAAGTAGTCATTTTTTACAGAGTACGGTCTCTACAGGAGGTTGAACAGCAGTGTATTCAAAAGCTGACATCCTGCCAAGTCCGCGGTACTATAGGACTATGCAGCCAGATAATCAGTATTACAATCGCGCCTGAGTAATCCTTCTTAATCGAAAACGAATTTTAGAATTTCAGCCAACATTTCACGGGATAGGTCACTCACTGTATTTATTACTTCGGCTTGTACATGCGATAACTCGGCCGTCGCAGGCGACGACGTCAACCACGTACCCCACGGGACAGGCGAAGCGGTGCCTCACAGCGAGACTGACTTACGCAACATACATGAATATCCCACGTGCCTCTCCCTCAACTGCCATTTTTAGCAGTATGTCAAAGTCAAGAGGACTGATGGGCACAGGTGCGGTAGCTGACTATGTTGGACATCCATCTACGCGTGTCGCGCACAACTTTGTCACCACCTTGCGTACCAGGCTGCATCACGGAAGATTCTATCCACCTAATTGAAATGTGCGCATAATGACATATGACATTTCGACCACTATGCGGGCGGTGACAAAGTGGATTTGAAATCTACTGTGCCAGTGAACATAGCGCGATGTGTATTTGTGGATGCTGTGGCTTAAGTTCAGATGTAACCTGCAGATGTGGGTGTTTGAATTTAGAGCAAGGTGTTGCGAGGAGCTTTAAACGGTGTTCTTTTACTGACGACTTTTATGGAGGCAAATAGGACTGAATTCCCTTGCCACGGCTGAATATTCTGAAACAGATAGGCAGGAACGGCGCATGCATACTGGGCTTCTGGCACCGGTTTGTCGGCCGCACTGCGATGAATACCCAAGGAAGGGATCGGATGGATGCGCAAATTAAACTTCAGTTTCAGTAAAACGGGATGAGATCCCATCTCAGGGTTGGTTGTGACGCTGCTTTAGTGAAGTTAATAGCCTGGTAGCGAAGGATTTCCCTAAGGTGGGATACAGGGAATTCCTCCGACGTGCAGTCACATATGGACGAAAGGACGCAGGCGGAGTCTAAATGTCCTGAACTGATGATAGAAAATGCGATATGTGCGAGGGCATATGTCGAGGCTCCGGACACTGGCTCGCTGGTTGCAATGCGAAGGATTCGCAAATGGCCGACCAGGCCGACACGTAATTCGATGGGGCGACCACAATAGTTGTATAATGGAATTGAGCCCGAATGCCACTTAGCATTGTCGATGGCAGTAACTGTTCGTAGGATGGCAGGAGTTTAGTCACTGATGTTGCTGGGTATTGGTGGTGGTAAGCCCCTGCAGCCTTGAACTAACTCAGGGGCTAAACCATGAGTCAGCACGCCTTACTGGGCTGGGCAGTCGTAATAAATATCCTACGTGGAAGTGTGGTGGCACGACTGGGCGTAGGCTCACATCGCGCCGGCCTCCTGTGCCCGACCCCTTATCCTGCCTTCTTGAACCTTCCTCGAAATCGAGCTCAGGCGGGTGGGGGTAGGGGTGAGTGCGGTAGGCGCAGCGCAAGTCTACTATGACCCCAGACTGATTCACGTGCAATTCAACGCCCCTGCTCCCACTATGATGCAGGGCGCATGGTGGGTATCGTCAAAACTACCATGTGAAACAGCCGGAAAACCGGTCATGCCGAAACTGTGCTGGTCTGAAAATGTCAACAAGGCCGCTCCCTCCCCCGAATGCGCGTTAACAGTGTGGACCTGATGGTAGAGGTATGACCTTTACGTCCTCGGTTTGTAACATTTGAGTCATTTGGACCTCCAGATTTTGCCTTGGCAGCGGCCATTCGGTTGGCTTTGAAGATAGTTGTTTCAGTCTTTATGGCAATGCGCCACACCTCACTATCTTAAACGAGATCCTCTCAGATATGAGGGCTTGAAAAAGATATTTGGGGTGTCCGTATGGCAGCGCCTTTGTTTGCCTTGTGTGTAACCATATACGGCTAAGGTATGCGACCTAATTCGTGAATAATGATGCCGAAAACTACAATGATCGCTTTATGCATCTAAATCGTTGCATGTTTTGCTTATTCGTCTGGCCTTTCCCGGAAAATGCCTTTTTCACGCAGAATATGTGTCGAGTTTATTTTATCATTCGAAACATTCGCAAATCTTGTAAAATCTATGTTACCTGTCACTTGACTCGACGCTCCTCATCAATCCTCATGATGTCGCCGCTCCATTGTATTTGCACTCGTGTCGGCGTGGCGCTTATTGTGAACACGCCAGCTATCACCATGACCTCGGCTTCATGCATTCTTTCCTGCAACTTCAGCATCAGTGGTAGCAGAGGAATAAACAGCGGGGTTGTCTTTATTGGTTTTCATAAACAGTTCAGGTCTCAACGTTAATTGCGAACTTTGTCAAGACTACAGCCCTCTACATCCTCAGTTTTTTTGTTAAGTAGGATGCCACGACAGTTCAAAACGGAGTACTTTAATAAAAGGTAAACAACAGGCAACTTAATCGCCAATCTTGATGTCTCTTCAACTCCTACTCCCAAGGTACCTAATTACAAGGCGGATTCCACTGAGATTGACACGGGGTTCGGTATAGTAAACATTTAGCGCCGGTTAATGCATGCCCACGGACTTTTCTGTGTTAATGATCAAACTGGCGCTGTAGCAACTGTTGAGAAGAGGATCACACTACCCTGCATATATTATCCACTGTGATGTATATCGACAGTCATCCAAAAATATAGATCGCGAACGCTGATCTCAGATACTCTCGGAAATCTTTGCATGAGGCAAATTCTCAGCTATCTTCCGAGAACTCTTCAGTTGATGTCGATCGCCGGCCGCTCCTTGCGGTGGACGCCTACCAACACGGCGTGGAACATGATACTGAATGGGATTAGAACGAGTACGCAGTCTTGCTCCATCGCATTTGTCAGTAGCAGTGTTCCCAATTATGTCCCCCGTACGTGACGAGCGCTATTATCCTGTCTTGAAGTAGTTTTGTTTCTGGAGTAAATAGCTAAAGGCATCCAAAGTTCAGTATGCTTCTCCATTATAAACCGCGTTTTAATATGTCGACAGCCTTTGTCAGATCGACGAAGGTGGTACGGAGATGCGTGCTCATTTCTTGGAACTTTTTGCAGTTTTCTGACTTCGAAGAACATATTGGTAATTCAGCTGGATTTCCCAAATCCGCAGTGTTTTTCTGGGAGGATTTGCTGCTCTAAATGTGTGTACAGACTATTTTATAGTACATGGTCAAACATTTTTGTCCTATGATAATTGAGAAGGGAGTTATTTGTGTTTTTATCACAACTTCGCGGGTTCGCTTTGCGTCTGGAGATGCGTATGATGGTGACATCCTTGAATCTTTAGGATTTGTGGCCATTACACCGCATTTCATGGAGAATCAAGGAGAGTTTCTCGGCGATTTTTGAGCCATCGTACTCGTAAATTTCTGCTGCAATTGCATCTGTTCCTGGTGTTTTTTTAACAGCACGTTTGTCGCATTACGCCGATTGTCTCTAAGAGGTAAGGCGGATGGTTCAGATCTTCATCGCATTCACTTGAAGGAGCCGTTTGATGATATCCTCGCAAATTATCGACAAGTGGTTGAGGACGCCCTAGAAGTGCGCGAAGCTGGGCTGCAGCATCAGTTATGTCTCTGTCAGGAGGGTTGATTTATCCTGACTCAGCATTGGTAGAGTCCCCTTAGTTGGTGAACCTCAGACTGCCTTGATAGCCGCGAATAATTTCTTCATTTCACCACGGTCAGCATGTCCATGGAGCTTCTCATCTTTACGAGTCAGATAATCTTGCTGTATTTCCGTCAACTTCTGTCGTGCTGGCCGTCAACATCTGAAGTATTTTGTTGTGTTGACTGAACAACTGTTGGTGAGACAGATACTGTG